TAGGACGTAGACAAAAGCTGTTATTTAATCTTTATGCCTGACCCTTACAGTCACAGGACTGCCCATGTACTTTTCATTTTGCCAACAAAAACTGTCGCAATTCAAAAGTTTTCTCCCACAAGATCTCTGAAGGAGTCGAGTCCTAACTGATAAGTATAATTTTCAGGCACGCAGTCAGCCACTATGAGCCTCAAATGAAGCTGAAAAGCTATTGTCGTACGGAAGTAGTGTTCGGGATTGAGAGCACAATCTGCTACTGCCGCGACGGCGATTTCTGCAATTCCTCTCCACCGCCGCCTTATCTCACCACCTCCTTCGTGGGCACTCTCCTGCTGTTCCTATTGCTCCTCTTCTTTCCAGCCTTATGACGGCTTGTATACTATGATTCACCCATAATGAACGCGGGTTACCCTATCGCGATGTGGAGATGCGGGTCAAAGACGCTATCGCAGACGCATGCGACTACCGTAATGCGCGCACTAACTGCGCGCCAGTATACGCACTGCAACGAATTTATCCCCTTTTTCTTCAGTAGGAAGAGAGGTGAATCGTATTATACATAGTTTACCATGTGCTCGTGTTGGTTCTTATTCGTATACCAAGCTTTGTCGTCTTTCATCATCGGTTGATTATTGATTATTGAATTATTCGTGACAATTTATTGATTTGCATTCATCCCGCATCGACATATCAGACATGTATTATGGCTAAATACTCTCATAAATACTGTGTAGACACCATATATTATACATATAATATACTATGATACGTTATACTGTTGTTTCTATGTTACAGAGATCGATTACACTGACTGTTTAGTAAATCTATTGATTAGTGAAGTTATTGCATTCATTTGTGACTTTCACAACAATGGAAGACAATGAACGCTGGACGAAGCGGCTGCAGAAGGATCCTAGTACGTCTTTGATAATCTCGAGCTGTATTGAAATGAGCGCATTTTTATGGCCACCTTAGGCAGGCGCGATTTGCGAGCTTGACCTCCGTGATTCGCTATTGAATCACACCGTCCCCCGAGGCCGGTTTTTATTGGGATTGAAACTTAGACAAACTCGGACCGACAGGCACTGTGGACCACGAGGGCATGTGTTCCATAAAAGATAAATAGAGAAAAGTAAGTGTATGATGTTAGGTGGTAGGAATTATTTTATGAAATTTCGACTCCTTTAGGCTAATCATTTCCGGAAACATCCAAAGACCTTCATAGTTTGGACTAGAAAAGAGTACACATAAGGATGAGTATGAAAATACACATATCTTTTGAGTTTGTTCTGGTCCAAAAAACATCAAAAAACAGAGCGAATTTCAATGCCATAGAAATTTTCTCGCGTCCAAACATATGGAAATTATCATATATGGAAAAGTACGAAAGTATATAGAATATGAAAAATTTGGAAGGAACTCGGGCACAGGCAAAAAATGGACCACCTAGCTGTGATCCGGCATCGGACCACGCTGTCCCACGCGACATGCGAAACGTGATCCAGGACGGACCACGCTGTCGTCATTGATTTAGCAACACAAAACTGCTCCTACAGTTTCCTATGGAACAGCAGGGACGGACGACCAATTGCAGTCGACGTAAGGGCGGGCCTAGCTCTCCCATTGGTCCGCTTTTTCAGGTATGCGGTAGCGGACGAGATTATCGGATAGTCTGCAGCCGCCTCATGTTGTACACATCGTACACAACCGTTTTTACACATATGCCACTGGATCACGAGCACCTAATCAATAACACATATATATGTATATAATATATTGGATTAGCACAAATTGATTGGCTAATATGGCAACTCTAGATCGATTGATGTAGATCAAAGAAGACGAATTCGAAATGCAATGGAGAACACGACGGTTATTTGGCAACGATTATTAACAAACATTAGGATATGACAACACAACAATAACGCTATTAACTACAGTACTATACATACATGTGGACGCAGATGATAGGCGTCAATTTGTGGCCTAGTTGACGCCGATTCGGTGCCACATACATACTGGCATACCGTGCTTCTTGAGCATTTGAATCCAATGCGCATGACCCGTGATGTCACCCATACGACCGATCACACAATGGCCAACGGACATCGGTTGACCGTTCGAATCGTGATCGAACATCTAAAATCTCATTTATAAAAGGCTGATAAACTTGTTTGAAGTGAAGGGCACCAGGGAGGGAGGGGGGTCCTGTCGCCGTACGGTGCAGGAATCAGTTTTCACATCAAAGTTCGCCCTGGGCAGAAATCGCTTTCTATCCTTTCCGAGTAGGTGATGGGCAGCAGCTTTGCGCAGGGGAGGTCGGGGTAGGAAAACAATTGACCCATTATAGGCTCACAAAATTCATTATGTACGACAACTATGAGGTCTATGTGCTATGGGCATGTGACGCAATCTTTCGTGTCGCCTATGACCCTTGTTTTTGCTGGTAGACGATGCTAGAATGGTATGTATGTGGGCAGGGGGGGGGGGTGGGGAGAAAGCGAAAGATTCTCGCTCCAAAGCTTCTGCCCCATAAACCTTAAAACGACTGAAGACGGCGCGAATTCCTGCACTCCACTGCCTTGGGTCCCCCCCCTTTACTCCAATACGATGTTCTCAAAAACTCATTCAGATTCTGATTGAATTCCTACGATTTTGAAGAATCCAGATGTGCGGCGTTTCACAACGCTCAAAAGGTATATATCGATTCCAAGCGGTTTTCATTTTTTATCTGAAGGCAAGCCCCGGGATGAAATGTAATGGGAATAGCCTTCTGCAGTGGAGCTAGAGGTAGGATGCGATCTGGAAAAAAAGCAAGAGAGAACCCCGATTACGCCCCATAAGGACCCCTCTACTTCAGCCTCATCAAATCTTGGTATAGAAAACGGGCGTGTTGGACGAGTTCCACGAACCTCTGCAGCTGCTCCAGTGAAAATGTCAGTTGAACCGCAATGCAACCGCTGCAATTGCGCCTTTTCTCGCAGTCACGTGGCAGCCAACGACAGAAGGCGGGGCTTGCGGACGAAGGTGTGGATTGCGGGTCAAGCGAGCTTCCAGCGCCTTTGTAGCGCACTTTCAAGCCGCAGAAAGGGGCGCGTTTCACGCTGTCCGCCTGTCTACAGCGTTCGAGGATGGAAGATGTGAGCATGCCTAATCACGGTGCGCCTTGAGGAGCTCCTCTAAGTGTGTGGCTCATTCTAGCTTCTTCTAGCCTGAATATCAAAGACATTCGGATGTGCGCTTCGCTCCTACAGTGCTTTTTGGGGCTCCCTAACCTTCGAGGTACAAAATTTTCTTGCGACACAATATGGGCTTGCTCACCCTAAGGTTTTCAGCTCTGGCCGTATACAATCTTTTATGGGCCCTGCGCTGCATACTGTGCTTTACGGATAGGGTTCACTTAAGCGTCTAGGAATAAAAGCAGAATGTGAACGAACCTCAATGACAATATGACATCGATCGAGTTTCGACGGTGTCACGTGAAAAAGAAAGGATTCAGAAAAGGAGGCGTCACCAGATGATGAGCTAAGTGATGAGGATACGGATGAGGATGAAGGTTTTGATGATGTGCTGAAAAATGGAGATATTCGAGTCATTGTTGAACCTCAACTGAATTGTTTACTTGACCGAAAAAGGCTTTTCTAAAACTCCACGCAATATGGTTCGATTTTATACACTGCGTTTCATAATTATAGGTCCACCCTAAATTTTTGCTACCCCAAAGTTGCTGTGCATTTTTTGGAAATGCTGCTATCACCATTAGATTCCTCATCACGGAAAACCTTCATAGTGTTTTTCTGACAAAGTTCCCCCTCAAGTAACCCAATTAACTTTTTCAGAACGAATTTTCACCGTTTCATGAATATCGGGCCACTCATAAAAAGTTTCCATTTCTCACGATCCGTGAAGGGAATCAGGGAAGCGGGGATATATGTGAGCTCAGTCGACATCGAGTTTACCATACCTCGTGTTATTCGCCTCTCTTCCCAGTAACAAGCTCAAGCCAGAGCACTTACTGAAGTGGGATAGCTGAGGAGCAGAATTTCCTCCCATGTCGGCCGGCTCATACTGCATAAGCGACTATGTGCGAAAATCCTGGTCAGTGCGGAGAGAAGAGTCGCTTAGGTAAATAAAGACTGCGTTTCCTTCAAGATTTAGGAGGAATTGGGCGTCTTCTCTCGAATTGTACAAGGAGTCCGAACAAAGTCCGTGCTGAAATGCGGCCTTCCGTGAGCAAAACCACCGTGTGGTGAGTAAGCCAGCAGAGCAATAACATCTTCAGCGGATTGATGAAGAGCGTTCCAAGATTATTTGAGCGCTACAAGATCGCACGTCTCCATTTCTCCGTGGAAAAGGGCTCAACTTAATGAACGATGGTGTGGCTGTTAAGACCCTTCGCGATCTTGGACTCTACCTCCTTGTTTCGTGCTACAGGTGGTCTGAGATCGACGTGAAAAAGTTTATTCTAGGTGGATCTGATAGAAAAAGAGGGTACAGGAGGGTTCCGTGAAAATCGCAGATGGTTTTGAATGTAAGGTAATTTTGGCGGAGAATCCCTTATGGTTTGAGGCACCTTTGAACGACTGAGCGGCTAGAGCTCGTATTTGTTTCCTTTCACAAGGATTCCATAGGGTATCGTGAAGTTCTTTTGAAGCGATTTTTACCATTTTTTCGACAACAGTCCCCTCGAACCTTGATTTTTACGCACGATAACGCGGCTGTCCATGCCGGTCCCTCCGCGCCAGATGGAATTGCAGGAAAAAATGTGGCAGTTATCTGGTGGCCACCATGTTATCTGAATTAAATAGATTCCAATAGAGAATCATTGGGCCTTAATTGTTATAAAGTTCCACAGCAAAGTAAAGCAAAATGGAACAGCCGAAGAGCTGAAAACGTCGATCATCAGCGCACAGACAAATTTCGATCCTACTGTAATAGCTAATTTGGTTACCAGCATTTCCAAAACGTATTATTGTGTTCCTTATGACTATGAGGACCATCCCATTATTGAAAATTTGTGACGTTTTTTTGTTATAATAAAATCTCTCGACAAAGTGATGTGTAGTCATATTTGCGCGAAACGGTGAAAATACGTTCTAAGGAAGATATTTTAATAATTCTGAATCGAGATTTCTCCAGAAATCAAGTATCAAGGTTTTTCGTTATGGGGAAACTATTGGTAATAGCGGCATTTTCCAAAAATGCACAGCAACTTTGGAATAGCAAAAAATTAGGGTGGACCTATATTTATGAAACGCAGTGTATAAACCCTATTTCACACACAATCTCGATATTTCCATAATATTCCATAGAGCTTTAGTTGTTCAAGTTTGAACTCACTCGATGGAGGATTTGTGACCAACGGAAGGATTGACGGTGGTCTGCTTCTGCTCCAGAAGCCGTCGACCGTCAAAAAGCATAATCCGCGCAAATGGAGCTAAAATATGAAACATGGCTGTTGTAAACAAAGAGTGATCAGTAGAGTAATGTCCCTTTATTACTGTAGTTAAAGGTTAACGCCCAAAAAATTAAACGCAAATAAATTGGAAATCAAGCCAACCCCTGAGATTCCGTAGATTGAGGTCGTCAACATAGACGCATACATACTTAGCAGTAGGAAAGGATAGCTCCTACTGAAGCTTTCAAAATGAAGTTCTCAGTTTGGAGGATCCCGCAAAAGTTCAACATCCTACAATTTTATACTGCTCGTTGTGTAGTTTATTGTTACTTGGCTGTGGTCTCCCTCCCCGGTAGCTGAATCTCCTCCATTCAGGACAGGCCAGTACAGTGGGTGGGGCAAAAAAGAGTCACGGCTATGGCGACATTACCAAGCTTTTCGCCACACAGGGTGGCGATGTCGATGTAAGCTTTACGGCAGAATATTCCTACCGCCCCAACTCTGTTCAGAGCGCGAGCAGGCCCGTTCACTGGCCTCACCGTCCTACGGAACATGAAGTCATCTGCCGTCACAGACGAGCTCAAGGAGGCCTACAGTATTTACTCCATCTTGAACGATCCGTCCTCGTTGAGCTCGTACCGTGCAACATGTTCCCGAAGGAGCGTCCTGATGTCGTCAGGGTAGAAGGGACTCATGCAGCATTTCGGTAGACCGATGCGTTCTTCAATTTCTTGTTGGAATCATTCCATTTAACACGTTGACGACCGCCGTTGTGCGCGTACTGCTTCAACATTTTTCGTATTCTCTCATCAATAGGCATTAATCCTTCAGCGTTTTCATTATCAGTAATGAAAAATTGTTTTTGGATCCAATAATGTACATGGACCGTTGTGGAACAGGAAAAAACGCCAAATAAATTAAGGAAAACTAGTCTGCTCCATGTGAAAGTGTGGTATGACATCATACCACACGGTCGTCAACGTGTTAAAGAAA